TATATTTGATGAACCATCAGATTTAATTTGGTCTAATGGAAAAAAAAAACATTCTGTACGTGTGCAAGAAGAGTCAAATTTGAAATAAAACACAGATATCAGATTTTCAGAGATCAAAGGCATCCTTTAAACCTGCATTTGCAGCCAGAAAAAACAGCCTTATTCTCCAATGGATCAGCTTCTCAAGTATCAGTGGTTGGAGCAAAATCAGTTGAACTCTCCAGCATCATCCATACTAGCGAGGACCAGTTCTATAGTGTGGCACCCATATTTGAACTATTATAGACCTATATTAGACCTCTCCCTCACTACTTTAAAAGGACTTTATTCATGATACAAGTTGTTCATAAATGGGTCATTTTCAATGTAGATACAAACCACCACTTCCTGTCTTTCAGAGCTGTGGTTGTATTTGTTTGCTTGACAAATAAAGAACGTCTGACACTGTAAACTACCTGTCCTTTTTGTTAGCATTTTTATCTGTATGTGTTTTATTCAACTATAACTAATGAATTGATGGCTTTATTAAAACTCTACACCACATTTTCTGTAGCTAAAACCTGTTTTTAAAGTCCTTCATAAATAAGACTGTCATCGACATCTTTTCTATAAAAAATAAACAATAATACACGCAAAGCCGCTGACATTAACACAATTTTAAAGAGTTACTGATACATATAAGTGAAGCTATTGATGATGATGTGCAGGAGAACTGCTCAGTTTCTTAGAGGACCCTAATTAAGCTTTAAAAACGTTAAAACAGCTGATTAAAATACAACTTCTAATAATCATAGATTTGTTTGTTTTTTAAGTTTCACATAAACGTTAAAAAAAGTGGGGGGAAAAAAAACAAAAAAAACACCAAACTCAAGCTTCTGAAAAAAAAAGGGGAGTCAAAAACGCTCACTGCTGAACTGAAACTAACCTGCCGCCGAATTTCCTCCTTGATGTTCTCCTGGGTCTCGGGCAGAGCTGGCATTGTTGCCATGTTGGACCAGCGGAGAGGTCGCACCACCGGCTTCAGGACGACGTCACCAAACAGCTCTTTCACGTGGGTAAAGAAGATGTAGAGGACGCGGTTTCCAATCTAAGAAGGAAGGAGAACTCATCAGCAGAGTGAAAGGGGCATAGAGCAGGAAGAAACGGTTTCCACCCTGAAAGGTTTTGGGAGCAGATTCTCTCCAACAGATTCCTGTGTGTTTACTTGCCCTCATTACACTGATCCTGGATTCCCTCATGTTTATCTAACAGATGTGTTTCTGGCTCACAATAAATGGAGTAGCCGCAGAGACGACTCCTATGGGGATAAATTAGCTGCACTTAACTAGGCCAGGGTGTCAAAGATGAACTCAGTGTTTGAACCACAAAAAACTGGCAGGGCTGGTTGCTATGGGAATGCTCAGTTTTCCTACTAACTTTTCATGATGTCACATTTTCAGAATTTCCCAGGTTTGGAATCCTACAAATCTGATATACACTTATACCTTAAGCATATTTCCGATAGGAAGGAAGGAAGGAAGGAAGGAAGGAAGGAAGGAAGGAAGGAAGGAAGGAAGGAAGGAAGGAAGGAAGGAAGGAAGGAAGGAAGGAAGGAAGGATGGATGTGCCCATATTCAGCCAGACTACATGTCCTGCTGAAGTTCTGCTGCTGACCTGTATGGTCGGGTTGAGGACGATGGAAATATTCTGGATGTTCATTTTGGTGTCTGCCTCCCTGGTGATGACGTGGTCCATGTGCGTGACGAGCCAGGAGAGGAGCAGCCGGCTCTGTGGTGGCACCTCGGCCAGCAGCTTGTGAAACTCTGAGACCTTCTCTGCCTCTGCCGGCCGACCGCAGGCGTCCTCAAAGCGCTGTGCCAGGTCTCGACCAAGGAGGTTCTCCGGCAGCTCGCGGAGGTACTGCTTCAGCAGGCTGGCAACGGTGTGGGGGTCGTACTCCTCCAGACAGGGACATTCCTCCCTATCGTAAGAGGCTTTCAGCTCATCCACCTTGGACTTCATACCTGGTAAGGGAAGATTAGGGGGGATTTATGTTTGCTGTTGTCTAAAAAGATAAAGTAAAATGCAGTGGCGACTGGCCAATAGAGGGCGCAAGGGCGCTGCCCCACTCACCAAATGACCTTGATTAAGACATTAAAAAGCAAATAAAATACTTAGTTTTTTTTTATATTTCAAAATATATTGATACATTTTTAGATGTGAAAGATAAATATTTAATATTTAATGACATGTAAAGCTGTTTCGTTTTTCATGAAATTGGTGATGTTTGGCCATTAATAATAATAATAATAATAATAATAATAATAATAATAATAAATTTTATTTGTAATGCACTTTACACAAGTGCTACAGGTCAAATCTTCATAGAAGGGTAAAATCAAAATTTAAAACTCAAAAGCGCTTGAAAAAAGTTATGAATAAAATAAATAGCATATTTGTAAAATGTCAAAAGTCATACATCCTGCTAAAAAGAAATGTTTTTAATCCTTTTTTAAAAGTTTGAATTGACTCTTAAAGTAGCTCCCCTTTAATGCAAAAAATAGGAGCATACCGAGACGCAGCTCTCCTGCGCCCAGAGCTTAAAGCAACTTTATTTGCACACCACCTTCAGTCACAGTCGTCTGTTATAAAGTGCGGCTGAATGACAGGTTTATATAATTTATTTTAGCAACAAGGCTTGGCTAACTGCATGCAGCGAGGTTAACACTTAATTTTGCTTTCCCTGCCTCATTTTTCAAACATCAGAATCTGACCCAGCATGGATAAAGGCAGGTAGCACATTTCAGTTAATGTTATGTTTTTGTTCTTGGCATTCATCAGAATCAGAATCAGAATCGGGTTTATTGCCATTGTTAGTGAAGAGGTTCACAACTAGGAAATTTTTGTGGTACAGTCGTGCAACATGAAACATATATGAAATAGTAAATAAAATTATAAAAATCTCTAAAAACACTAGGGTATAAGGCATGCAAAAAATATACTAATATATACACTTAAGATAAAAATATGGATAAATATAAAAAGTAAAATGTACAAGATAGTGCAAATAGAATGTAAATTTCTGTAAATATACTGGTGTATACTGGTAAATATACTGGTGTTTTACCTTAGCATACATTTGATTTGTTTTTGGTATACGTCTATTTTGAAGCTATGGCCCTCCCTGGGGAAAACTCCACCAACCACCACTGTTAAAATGACATGTTTGATATGTTTGTTCTTTCAACTGTCAACACATGCTTGCTGCTGCAGCGTACTATTCTATTATACATTTCTGGATATAAATTGAATCCATCTGAGCTCTATATTATGAGATGAATTGTTATGAACCAGTGCTGCATGAAGAACCAGCTGAATACCTGAGACCCTGTAGATGCCCTCACACTTCATCCCATAATTCTCAATGTAGTCCACACATTCCCGGAAGATGGCGGGAAGCTGGATGCCGTCATACAGTGAGGTCCTCTTCACAGCTTCAGCCAGCGGAGCTCCAAAGATGGGCCTTATAGTGGGAACCTCCACTGGGACCTGCTCTGCATCTGAGGCAGGCTTCTTCTTCTTCTTCTTCTCCTTCCACTGTTTGACTACATCAGCTGCAGTCAGGTCCTTGGACTTTTTATCCTTGGCCTTCTCCTCTTTGGGGCCCTTCTCTTTCACCTTAAAGTCCTTTTCCTTCTTCTTGGAGAAGCTAGGCTTCTTAAACACGTGGATTCCCTTCGAGCGCTTCATCTTGGACGGGCTCTCAGCTTCATCAGCTGAGCTGTCCTCCTGGAAGGCGGCGTATCCCTCAGCTGGAAGAAAAGGCACAAATGGTTAAATCTGAGAGGAGAAAAAAAAAACTCCTGTGTTCCTTCCTCTTTACTATAGCAGAACTATGAAGGAGGAAAAATAGAAACAGAAGAAGGGTTACGAGAGAGAGAGAAGACAGCAGAGAATGGGGACAAGAAAAAGAGGTCAGCCACTGATTTAGCACAGCTCCCAAAGCACCTTACTCTCCTCTCCTCTCTAAAACAGAGTTTAAGTATATTTCCTAAGAGCTAAAACAATCAGCGGACTCTTCTCAGCAGTGTGAACCAGACAGTGGTCAGAGATACACCTTTCACTGGGAATCATCTACCCCCTCCTTCCTCTTCCTGTTCACTAAGGTGGGACCTAAATCCAGATGTGGAAAAATGAGGATCAAAAGTGGACAAGGGCGGAAAACACAGCCCACGCTATGGGTGGGAACAGGAAGGGAAAGTTGATTTATTTCTTTTCTCTTTTACTACATGTAGTATTCTCCCAAATTGATGATATACATTATGTGCATTTTTGTTGAACCAGCCCTGATTTCTTCTAATGTATTTTCTTCATCTGATTATCAGATCTTCAGGCTCTCTGAAGGTATTTAAAAGTTGTTGTTTCTTTCTGGGGTTTCGCTGCATCTTGTCAAAAGATAAAACAGCGACCGAAAAAACTAATTACAAAAGCACATTTTGATAAGGTGCCATCAGTTATTAAATAATAAGATAGGCTAAAAGTATGTTTGATGCAGAATACCGGTAATCTAAAACGTAGTATGTCTCTTCACATGGAGACTATTTAAAATCCACTGGTCCTCCCAGAAAGGATTGGACTTCTCTGGTCTTTGCTTTAAAGATCGAGCCTGAGTTTACCTCTGCTTTATCTAAATGCACTGCAAACATAATCCTAGTAAGCCTAATTTTCTTAAAATAAGTTGATTTTCCCTTGATTGGAGCAGATAAGTAATTTTCCAATAGAAGAAAAGAATTTACATTTAAAATTCTAAAAGCAACTCTATTATCTAAATTCAAGTGCATAGTATCTAATAATCCTATTTAATGGCAAAGAATACTCCTTGCATTGGCAGATCATCCTATTAACCTGCTCAACTGAAGGGCAAACACCCTAATTCTTAGAAATGTATATTTATTTTCAGATCATACATCTGAGGTGAATGTATCACTCTAAATGTTCCCAAACCACTTAAAACATGGATTAGGAGGTCATACAATAATGATTGGTTGGATGAAAGGTCATAAATCATCTCATAACTCTCAACAAATCATAAATCTGCACCTAAATATTCCATTCAATTATCGTTCAACATTTAAAGTAAAGCTATATCTTACTCCTCTTCTCCTTCTTCTTGAACTTATTCTTCTTCTTTCCGTGCTCCTTATCATCATCTGAGACGTAGGGGTCAGGCGGCTCATGGTGGTGTCCATCATGAGGCGGCGATGGTTCGCCGGTGCGGTACAGCCCGGGGAACTTGGTGGGGCTGATCTCCTCGGAGCTAGGGGTACGGGCCACCCCTCCAGGGTGATCGGCCCTGCGCTGCTCTGCAGGGCTGCTGCTGGGGGGCAGGAAGCACTCAGTCATGTCTTCTCTGTCTTTATCCCTTCGCTGTCTGAGACATCACTCCTCCATTGCACCTAAAGTAGCAAAATAAATAAATAAAATAAAAATAGGCTAAAATCCGCAGGGATGCGCATTTTTCCAAACGACGACAACAACTGATTTCTTGTTATTTGGGTTGAAAGAGCACCTTTAAAGTAACTGAAGAAATCAGAGGAGGGGATTAAAAGAAGTTTTATTGTAAAACATTTTGAATATTCAACAGAATTAATTTAGTTCACGCAACGTCTGGGGATTAATTAAACAAATGATGTCAGGATTAGAATAAAATACAGATCTCAATTCAGTTTCCTAGCTCATCCAAGCCTCAGATTGAATCCAGTGCATCTTCTGGATCATATTAAAGCCCAGACTTTGTCTACTTTAAGATATCATTTTATTTCTATAACTCAATCAGAGGTGGATCTTCAGGTGAACTCTGGGTCGTTCTCCTGCTTTATAACCAAACCATGTGTTAGCTTAAAGTGACAGACTGATAGCATGAACTTCTTCTGTGGACGAGGCAGAGATTTTTTTTTGTAATCTATCATTTTTCGCAACCATTAATAAATATAGAATGGTTGTGTGTCAAACTTTGATTTAAACTAAAACTTTACTAAAACTCATCTCTTATGTTTAGAAATCGGTTCATGCCATAAATTTTATGGGTTTTAACCCTTTATAGGGCACACAGTATATACTTTGCAAATCAAAATTTCAAACCAATAGTGTTATTGAAATCCAGGACAAGACCTTATTACATTTGTAAAAATATGTGGATGTCAATGTAATTACAAGAAACGCCAACCTTCCCCCGAATCTATTAAGAAAAATGAAAGTGCTTCTATAAGAAATTAATGTAAAACACTTTTTTGGGGGGTCCAACGTAACCTTAGAGGCATTAATGCCAATACTGGCACTTACATTGTTTAGTTTATAAACCTAAATATAATTCTTAATTAGGCTTATTCACTTTATAAATTTTCAATTAGCTTTTCACCTTTCTTTCTTGACTTAAGTTTTTATTTCAACTTAATTTATAGTAGGTAATACATCATTCATTTATTTGGTCAAATGCGAAAATAAGATGTACAGCCATGTAGCAGTATCTTTGCTGAATGGCTGGATATAGATCTTGTGCTTCTAGACCTCACTGAGGGATGGAGGTTTCCATTTTGAAGGGGAATGCAAGTGATCAATAAAGGGTTAAGCTGTGTGGTTTAATTGTGGTCGAAGTTTATCTCTAAAAAAATTTTTTTTAAGTCCTTTTTTTAAATCAAACACTGCAATGAATACACTTTATCATAGAATTCTGAATAGGAGCTTTACTCAGCTTTTATAGATAATGTGTAGTAAAGCATTAAATCCCAGAGCGTTTTAGATTATTTTAAATAAAAAATGACAATCATCCATTGCAACTAACAAGTGCAACTAGATGATGGTTGCAGCTGTCGCCTCCACCCACCAGATGGGGCGCCTGTCCTTCAAAACAACCATTCAGACTCTTCCCCCATCAAAGATAAAATCATTCATGTATCTAATGCTGAGCAAAGAACAGCACAGTTTGAAACACAGGGCTGTGCCTTTATGCGTTACTATAGCAACGAGTATAAAAAGGAACATGAGCTGCAGTAAAGCGTTTTAGGAAGCAGTTAAAATGACTCTTAGGAGGAAATGTGGTTTAAAGGACTGACCTAACTGTAATATATTAGGTGAATATTTTCCTTAGTACAATAGGTTATATAAAACCAGTGTGTATACATAGATAATGATGGCTAGACTGCAGAAAGCTACTTTACAGCGTCACATTTACGTATTAAATCTCCCCCTCTAACGATTTTACCCACATTTCTGCTTTATTCAAGCAAACCTAACATTACTATTTTATCATACTGTTGTCATGATACTTTACTTAGTACTCAGCGGCCATTACTTGGAGCGCTTTTTTTTTTTTTTTTTTACCTTCAAGCAGACATAAAGTGAAGCTTTGCTCTAAATGTAGAGGGGCCCATCTGCTAACGTTACTTTAGCTAGCAAACAGGTCCGCTACGACAGAAAAAACCCCGTTCATTTATCTGAATAAAACTTACTGGTTAGCTGAATATATTTAAAAACGGACGCTAACCTTTTTTTTGAAACGGTAACGCGGTTATTCGTGACAGCAGCGCCTGGAATAATAGAAACTTTACCAAATCTTGGTCGACAATCCCACAGTGTAACTTCCGGTTGTGTGTGTATACTAAATAAACTCTTTGGCGCATGCGTAAAAACACAAGTGCATCATGGGAAATGTAGTTAATAGAGCTGTATGTCCTTTTTCCGCTGTTTGTAGGCTGTCTATGTTTGTGGGGTTTATCTCTAGCTGTAACTTCTGTTCAATTTTAAGATCTGGATTCATTTTTAACACACCTTTAACACACCTTTTCTTGCATTTTTTCTGATGAATTTCTATTTACGTGCACTTCTAATCAATCTATGTATGATGGAAGCATAGAATAGAATAGAATAGAATAGAAAATCCCATTATCGTCCCACAATGGGGAAGTGTTGTTTACAGCAGCAAAAAGATTATAGAAAAAATGGTCACGCAAATGTGGACCTTAGAAAAGTGTATAAGAATAAAATAATAGTGAAGAGGTAAAAAAAATTATATATTGTACTGTAAAGGGGTTTAACTATATAAATACTGTGCACCTGGAGAATAAATAACCAATATACATATATGGACATTTCTACAGTGATGGATATTTGAAAATAACTGCAGCAAAATTAGCAAGAATCTGCATGGATGTAATAATTTATTGTGGTTGTTGGGAACAGTGGTGGTTATAAAGTTTCCAGCTGATGGGAGGAAGGATCTGTGATAGAGCTCCCTGGTGCATTTAGGGTGCAGCAGTCTGTCCCTGAGGGAGCTCTCCAATTCTTCAGCAGCTTCATGCATGGGGTGCGAGACATTATCCAACAGAGATGAATATTTAGTTACAGTCATTTTGTTTCCCAGCTCCTGAGTCGAGAGGGCATCCAATCACAGAGCTGGCCTTCCTGATCAGCTTATCCAGCCGATAATTTATATTTTCTAATGAATTTCTACCTTCATGCACTTTGATCAATCTACATATGATAGAATCATGACCCAATAAGGTAAACTAGCCTCTTGATCAGTTATTTAGCTATTTCTAAGGCTTTAAATCGCAGTAACATCAGCATGGGCTTTAAGGGCTTTCAAGTATCTTCTGATGAATCATGGAGTAAACAAAAAAATCCAGATGTGGAAACTTGTGGAAACACAAAAAGGATCAATGTATATTTCTTTTATATACCTCAAATCAATATGGAACTGAAAGCAGATGAAGGAGGATGGCATGTAAAAAGATGTTAATAAGCCCCACATTTCTCACTATCATCTCTGTACAGCCTACAGGAGACACTGCGGCTGTCCTCGTGAGGTGTGGGCAGTCAGAGCAGGATATTTTTGTATGTTGCACACCGGCTGTGATGCTCAGGGTTTGGTGGAACACTATGTAGCTGCATTTAAAACCGTGAATCAGCTAAAAAGGGAAGTAATCAAATTCAGTGACTGAAAAACCTAAGGTGCTGTTCCACACTGGATTCCAGTCTGTTCCCACTAACGCTGCTCATCAGAATGAAGCAACCAGGCTTGCACCAGGCCTTCTCCAATAATGCACTGTTATACAATCATCTAATGCAAATGATTTGTGTTAACATTAATGGCTCCTGTGATGTCAATAAAGCCTTTCCAGTTCAGACCCAGCTTTGAGATTTTTGCAGACTAACACCTTTCCATGCCATCTATCGTCCCTGACCTGCTCTTTCCACAGAATGTTTCAATCCGGCTGGTTTTCCATCACATGGAGTCTAGCTTGTTGACGGAAAACAGCATTTTTGTTCTCACCTGACCAGAGCAACATCTTCCTCCAGGTCTTACAGAAAGGCCAAATATGAGGACTGTTTTGGAAGCTCTTCCACTAGAGCTGCTGATCTCCTCCACATAGAAAAAAAAATCCTCTTGGCTGCTTCTCAGTTGTTTCCTCTAAACTTCCATAGAAGCACTCTCCTTTCCTTGATCCAAGCCTCTTGGTCCCTCTGGGCTCCACCTATTACTCCTCTATGCTAACAGCTCAGCTAGCAGGCGGTGCTGAATAGGGCTGGGTAAAAAAAATCAATTTAATCGATTTTGAATCTGTTCCTTTATATTTTTGCAAAATCGATGTCTAGGGAATGAGATTGATTAATTTTACAGTGACGCGCGTGACGTTCACATTCAAGTAAGCAGGAAAGATGCACTCAAGATTACGTCAAGCCAGACAGCTGCAAATATAGCCAATAGGTTGACTGAAGACATTAACTAATGGGGGCTGACCAGCAAACACCCTGTAGTTGTTAGAGACAACACTGCAAATATGGTTTGTGCAGCGGAGATAATGCAGCTCATGCATGTCTGCTGTATCACGTCTCCTTGCTCGAGTGAGGCTTCACTTTTTCCCTTTTCACAAACAAGTTTGCACTTATGAGACAATTTTGTTCACTTCTAAGGCTTAAACTGCATGATTTACAAGTTTGCACTCTGTGTTTAATCTGACAGGAAAAAAACAAAATGAGTATTTTGAAACACAGTTGAACCATTTTCATTGTTGTAAAAACAGATCGAATCGAAATTGATTTAGAACTGTATGAATCAAAATCGATATACCCAAAATACCCAGCCCTGGTGCTGAAGCTGACTGAATCCCTTTGATCAGAAAAACATGCCTTTGCTCTGTAGAGCTTATCTGGATGCAATCAATTAAAGACTTTGCCATTAGAAACCAGAGATAAAATCCCTGACCTCATAGAAACAAATAGCAATGAATGACCCTGTTTATGCTCTAGAGCCATGCAGTAAAATATGCTACATTTGCTCCTCTTGGCATTAATAACCAACCTACCAGTAAACAGCAGGGGCACCTTCTCCAATAAGCTGATAAATGCTGATGTAACGCAGAGCGCCACCATTTCTCCTCCAAGTTCGCACAAAGTGGTTGTTTTAGAGCTAATCTGCACAGCAAACGTTTTGTTTGTATTAATGTCGTCCATATCAGATAATGCCACTCTGTGTTTTATTTATTTTCAGTTATAATGCCTACATTTAGTGGTTTAATGTGTTATCAGCCTTCTGATGACACCAAGCAGCCTTCTTTCTGAAGAGGATATATTAATTGGCTTCTAAATTTAATAAGTTTGTTCATGTGAGAAGGAGGAGATGAAGAGAAAGAGAATAGTGATTAAATGGGAAAAGGCAACGAGTTTGTCTAAATAAGTGAAAATGTAGGAATCACTGAATGAAATAATGCAACTGTTTTTGTTATCTACTAAATCATATTAAGATGCGGTTAAACAGTCCATCATCTCACAGCAGGGTGTCACATATTGGCAGTTGTTGAATGCATGCACCATAACCAAGAGGCTGTTATACTGAACAGAAACATCTGTGCAGAATACAAACTACATGTCAAAATGAGTGCTATCTCCCAAGGTGGTGGAGAATGACAGAGCTTAGATCCTGTGGGATCAGCGTTGCCACTCCAAATGATGGAAACATCAGGAAAAAAGAACATGAGAAATTGGAAAAATGCCAAGAGCTCAGGGAAGAACTAGAGAGAGTCTGAAAGGTGCATGCAACAGGTGTTATTGGAGCACTGGGGGCAGTAAAGCCCACAAAGGAGAAGCGGCTCCACTAGATACCTGGAGAAACATCAGATATATATATATATATATATATATATATATATATATATATATATATATATATATATTTAATACAGATATATTCACTAAAAATATTTATGAAATACATTTTTTATATTGTTAGCCTTATGTTAGGGCTTTTGGTTTAATGATGACAAAATATTATTCTTGATTCTTACTAATCACAAAACGCTGTAGTTCCACATTGTCACCATAAGAAGAAGATCTGAACTTGATAAAGAGCCATAAATAACAATTTAATACATATATGTTTGCTAAAGGCAAATGCTTTCCTTCCTTTTTACACTAACAATAAAGGAGATGTTGGCTGGCTGACCCACGGTGGAGAGTTTTTTTTACTTCATCCCTCATGTGAAATGTTTGCTTCTAGTAACAGAGGAGTGTATAGGAACATCATAACCATAACCAAACTTTATTAAAACAAGAAACAAAACTTAAAACTGAATTAAACTGCTTTTTTGGATGTTGGTGTCTCATTCCTGGTCTGATGCAGCTTCCTCACAGTTAAGAAAGGATGCGGTGAGAATCCGGAAGCGTACAGCTGCTCATTCGCCTGCAGGTTTAACATGACAGACATCAGTGCCAGATTATTTCAAGCCATTGGTGAGATTTATTTCATCGTTCTGTACCTGACTTCCTGCCTGCCTGTTTGCATGACCTGTTCTGTCTCTTCATACCTGAGCCTACCTGACCCCTGCCTAATGTGATTTCCTGCCTGTCTGCCCAACCTGCTCTGTATTCCGATGATCTGATCCAGCCTAATCCCAGTCTGATCTGTAAGCCTGCCTGTTACAGGACTTAGATCTGTACCCTGACTCTGCCTTGGGTTTCCTTCTGGATTCTCTCTGGACCTCACATCACCCCACTCTGAACCTGGACCTCATCTCTGACTATGGATTCTGGAAATCCTCACTGGACTTCTTGCTACTCATCGTCTTTGCAGTTCTGAAACCCTGTCTGTTCCCTAAACACTGCATACCAGGGTTCTCCTGGTCAGAGCGGGGATCGTTAGCAAGCCGACCAGTTTGAGCCAGTGCTCACTGTTCCCATCAGACCCTGGACTGTGAGAAGAGGATCCTGCCAGAGACGCTGATGATAACACCACCACCTGCTACAGTTTACCTTTTAATAAACTGTCTTTAAA